TCCAGAGAGAAGAGATTACGGTGTCCTTCTGTGACTGCGTGTAGTACTTAACATGCAAGCTGAAGAGACAAGAGACTTGCAGGCTACATCAAAAGGCAGAAAACCAGCAGAAAAACAACACAGGAGAAAGGTGAAAAAACCCACGCTGTACTTTCATTGTGTATGGTTTCTGCCATTTTCTATATTTAGTAGAATTTTTGGAAGGATGCTTACTCAAATTCTAGCAAACCAAACTCAAGGTTTGGACTAGCATAACATTGTGTTTAAACTCTCTTCCTGTCCAATCCATGATAGGCTTTTCTCAGTGCATTCTTTTCTTGGCCGTGAAGTGATGGCCATACTGGCGTCCTGCTCTTCACCTAACCATCCTTTAAGGACTTTATGCTGAATTGCTAGTTTATGAATCTGCGTAGCTGTGCTTCATTATCACTTGCAGTGTATGCTGGAAACTGCAGATTCAGAGGTCTTCTCCAAACAACTAGCAGAAACCTACGGTCTTCTCACTCCCTCCTTCCTTATTGAAAAGTTAAGCTCAACAAGCCTCAGGCTTTAATTCCAACCTGGATTTTTCTCATCTGTTTTGATACAGCACTTTTCCCCCCCGTAATTAATTTTAAGAAACCTGAGCTCTAATGCACTTGCAAGTTTGAATGACAAACTGCTTACAGGCAATCTAGAAACATACCTTGACCTACAAGACAGGAAACCATGCTTCATTCCCACCCCAAATCATTAGCGGGGAGTTTCATTAGGGTTTTCATTAAAAAACAGGACATATGCCCTTCAAGTTCCTTCAAAGCACCTGGGAGAAGCTCTTTGTCCGCAAAGGAAGGAATCAGTCTTTCTTCTGACAATATTTTAGAGGAAGATGAATTCATTTATCTCAAATTTGCTACTAACACCCCCTCCTCACACTTAACTAGGGATTTATATTGTTCTGTATTAAAAAAAATTAAAAATCTTTCAATTTTCTTAACCTACTAGATGAGAGTTAAGAAAAAATTAAGCCTACCGTAAAATATTTTTGGAGGTGAAATATCTTTGCCAGGAAAAACCAGCAGCGGCTCCTGGCTCTGTACTCCCGATGCACCACTTTGAAGTGACCTGACCACCACCAGCGGTACCTGCCTCTAGCCTGGGAATTCCTGTTCTCACTCTGCATTTTTCCTTACTTGGTGCTGTTAACGCAGGGCACTGGTCACAAAAATACTCAACAAACACTTTGAAAGTAGCCCCTTGGTTCATATATGCTCGAACAAAGACCCGAGTGAAATGAGTTGACTACAAATATGTGCTCTTTGTACGTTTTTGTTACAGAAATACAGTTAAAAGTCAGAGACAGTTAAATCTGAGAGTAAACACCGCATTTTAAAGACTTATTCTGCCTTTTGGAAATTTCCATTGAAGATTTTATTTGAAACCAAACTAGTTATTAGTTTATACTGTCTAAGGTAAAAAAAAGTTCTAACATGAGTGGTTTGTGGGCAGCCATATTTTCTTTTGCCAATTTGCAAGGATTTATTCTTTACAATACAGAACATACCTACCCCAGATATTATTGTAGCTCAATGTTGCAAGTATACTGTAAAAGCGACTGCTTGCTTTACGGTGGTCATTGCTCATCATGTGAATACAAGATATTATGTTTTAAATTCCTAAGTTAAATACATTCATAACCCCCTCAAAACAGTAACCACAGCAGTACATTTTGTACAATGAATTTTGAGAAAGATTATCTTGGGAAATCTTCTTTCAAACAGCTACTCCAGATAGCAGGTAAAGTATAGGAGCCAGATGGTATCCATAAAGGGAAAGAAGTACCACTTCACATCTTGTAAAACAGCTGAAGGCTGCACCTAATTAACAGTCACTGCGTCATTATCAGTCCTTGTTTATTTACATTTTGCAGCACCCAAGGTGCCTGTTAGCAAGTGCAAACCTTCTTCAGAAAGTAAAACAATAAAGATGTTCAGCTTCTTTTCGGATTTTAAATGTAAAAGTGATTGCTTTTTTTTTTTCTGGTGATGAGATCATTTACTCATGAAACATCAAAATGTTTCTTTGTAATACAGTGATACATAAATAGCTATTACAGTCTAATTAAGCAGATAAATTCCATTTTCAGCTCTACAGGGCAGAATGTTTGTACACACAACAGGGATATGTGTGTTGATTAAGAAAATCTGGACTTTACCAGGACAGCTATTGCATGTACATCTATAGTACATTATGCATATATATGCATATTCCTTTGTACAACAGCTTAATTTTAGGCGTACAGCGTTGTCTAGAGTGCTGCAGCAGTCCCTCAGTGCTGGAAGCTGTTAATCTGTGTTTTGCAAGCCTGCCTTTGTCTCCAGGCTGAGGTCTTATTATATTTTCATTACTTATTAAAAATAGCTGGTAGTATTGTCAAATTAGTGGGATTAACCTACTTTAAAAAGGAAATTAGGTCAGTTACTATATTCATGCCCAGCCTTCAACTCACATGTATTGTTACAGCTCTCTTGCATCCTACAAAATGGGCGGTTTCCTGTGGAAAACACAGGTCTGCGTGCGGCAGTCTGCCTCACCCCACGCTCGGACACAACACTGAAACAAACATGGTGGGGTAAAGGCCCCGTCACTTGTTCTTCAGCTCTGCTGATACAAACCTGTCGGCCAGAAAAGAAACACGACTTACTGTAGACTGTTAGAGGTGCTCCATTAGTAGGTTGTTTGCGACGGTGAAGACAAACTGGGCTGTTACATACTTCTGATATGTGAAACGCACCTAAAAATCAGACTTCAAAATTTTTTTGAGGTTATCTTCACCAACGCACCTAGGAACACCCCTTCCAAACCTACCTTACCTGACACGGAGGCTTAGATGAAACCACCACTGACAGAAGAAAGGTCTCTGCCAACCACCAAGCCACCGATCCTCTCTGGCCGGAGATCTGGCGGGGGGGGATGGGACGGGTGACAGTACCCTACCTGCAGTAACAGGTCTCGATAGCTACCCTGGCATCCGAAACACTGGGCACACCAGGAGAAAGAAGCAATTTCATGCTGTGTGCAACTGCCACTGTCTCAGGCTAGATGCTTATCTGCCATGCAGCAATCAGGAATGCAAGTACTCACAAGACGAAAGGCTCAGCAGATCCTGTCTCCACTCACTCCATCCTTACTTTGCTCTTGGCCCCTTACTTTTTTCACTACGGTTACTAAGTTCAGGAATTAAAATTGTTCACTGAGGCCGGGGAGTCTGTTGTGCATCCCCAAACAGATGGCTCCTGCCTCTGATCAACCACAGCTCCCCGAGAGCTCCAGGACAGAGCTCTTAAGTCTGTTGCTTTCAGAAAAGCTTTTATTCTGCCCCCAATTTCCCCATGCCAAGGAATCCTCATAATTGTCTCCCCAGTAAAAGGACAAGATTGACCTCTAGACAATACACCCACAGAAAGGCAGAGAGAGAATTATCCCTCTGGTGTTTTCTCTGACAACTCCTCCTCTCCAAACCAGTTCACAGTCATTCCCTCACTTTCACGCTGAGGCAGGAAAATCAACATGCAGGGAAAACATTCTGCAGTTACATGTAATTTAGACAGCTAGCTATCTGCATGTAGGAAAAACAACTGGAAGTTAACAGTATGCTTTTTCTCTTTCCTTTCACCTTTAAGCTGATCTAAAACTAAGAGACAGCAATTTCTGCATATTAATTACTGTCTAGAAAAGGAGAGAGAGAAGAAAGAAAGTAGGACAAATCCAGACTGTACAGGGCATTCCCGTCT